TTCATCATAAATTAAAGCAGAACCTCCCGTGTTACATTCACCTGCAAAAGTATTAGGATTCCTACTGCTTAGAAAGAGGAACCACCCCTCCATAGGCTACAGCATCCGATTTTGGCAGGGGGTATGTGAGTAAAACAGAATGCTTGCACTTAATGCACTAAGAGAAAGTAGCAATTCGGAAAGCCATTAATGAGAAATTGTTTCCGAACAAGAATGGAGCACCAAACGTGAATCCCGGGCAGTTCTGGCCATAAGTCCCCGCTTCTACCAAGTATTTGTGTGTTTTTGCGAAGGTAGAAAGTGTTGGAAGCAAAAGCAGTTTCAAATGCCCATCTCTACCACGCTTCTGTTTTAGGTATTCCTGAACAATTTCATCTTTGGAGTGGAAATAATACTTTGATCGGACCTCAGCGCAAAAGCGCCAGAATTTCAAATTACACCTTTCCGTGGATTGGTGTTCCCGGAATTGCACTGATGACCCCGGGAGCTCACTTATCGTTCGCACAGCTTCCAGTCTGAGGAGTAACTGGCGAGAAATGGGGTGTTAAGATGCTAACCCCAGGTCTGAAGATGGAAACTCCTGGTGTCAACTGTAAAAACCAGCGGATTGTTGCTAGTTTAGGAGGGCTAATCCAGGACGTAAGGACAAGTCTGTTAAAGGCATTCTATTTACCCAGACTTCAGCCCCCCTTCTATCTCCTGGCACTTGGTGTCCACTCTGCTTGACTCCCAGCATTCTATAAGCATCCCATAAGCTGTGATAACTAGACAACCTTTTGTGAAAAGCTGCCAAACTCCATCCCCTCTGTTAAAGGTCATCCTCCCTTAAATCAGCCTGGCTTTCTGGAATTCCTTTGCTTACAGAGCCATGAGGGGGAGGGCAGAGGAACTTCTTTTCCCCCTCTCAAACATCAACTTTCATTTTTAAAAAAGATTTTATTTATTTATTTGACAGACAGAGATCACAAGTAGGCAGAGAGGCAGGCAGAGACAGGGGAGGAAGCAGGCTCCCTGCCGAGCAGAGAGCCCGATGCAGAGCTCCCTCGATCCTAGGACCCTGAGACCATGACCTGAGCTGAAGGCAGAGGCTTTAATCTGCTGAGCCACCCAGGCACCCCAATCAACCTTCATTCTTATAGAAGGGATAAGAAACACCATCCCGTTCAGGTGAGCTGATAGAAAGATCTACCTGAAACATGCCTTCAGAATGGACTGTCAAAGGCTGAGGGAAACCGTTTAACCCCTAACTGCTGGAAAACAGCTTCGGGTGGAGTCACAGGTTAAATACAATATTTGGGGTGTGCTTAGAGAAAAGGCTCCGGGTTCAGAACGGATTCAGAGCAGCATCCTGAAGTCACAAGTATGCATTTGATTCCCTGCAGACCGCCCCCAAATATCATGTGTTGATCATTCTGAGCCACAGTCCTCCCTTGATCATGGTCATAGGTGGGGATGGATTCTGATGTGGTCTCTAGGGTATCCTAAAGATCCTAGCTTGGTTGTTCATTTTGATTTGTGACATTAAAGAATAGGGAAAAAAGCAGGAAAAACATGCTAAGATGAATCAGATCTATCAGGCTAGGTAAGTTACTTGGCACATCAAATAAGCAGGGCACATTTGGAGGCTGTTTCTATCATTGAAATTTGAGAAGTGTGCCAGTCCTGTTGAGGGGGGTATCAAGTTGACTCTTTCCCTTTTCCAGTGGTGAAAGTAATAGATAAGACCATTTTGGCTCCACTGCCCCAGAGGAAGACAAGACTCGAGCAGCGTGGCAGGTGGCTGTGCTTCCCAGGACAAGAGTTTTTGGAAGCCCCGGCCACACAAGACTATAGACAGGAGACAGACCTTCCCGGCTGGAATCTCAACTTCATCAAAGACCAGATCAGACAATTCTTTCCTGGTGGGAGGAGGGGGAAATAGGCTATAGGCGGGGCCCTGCTCTCTGCTAGACTTGCAAGAGGAAATTAGCTCTGAGTAGATCAAGCAAATCAGGAGAATGCAAAGCCAAACAAAAATCAAAAGGCAAATTCTGTCCTGGGGGGTATTTCAGATCTACAAAGGGACAAGCTCGTCTGCATCTTTAAGAATCTTAAGAGAATTATTTCATGGCTTCTGGATCTGCTCTGCACTCTTCTTTGCTCTCCCCAGTGTTTATGGCCCCTGATTTCAGTATTTGGGGCAGCAAATGTTCACAGTGGGACCCTCCTGGGTGACCTGCCCAGGTAATACCCACTTTTTCAGGGCTGCCCACCCAGACTGCAGTCTAAAGGACATAGTGTCCATGAAGCACAATCCAAGAGATCTTCAGAAAAGTTTCCCTGCTTCCACTCAGACTGCATCTCGGGGAAGGGAAGAAGCAGGGGGAAAAATCTTTATGTGCTTATAAAAGGCTGTCTACATAGCACAGATCAGAAACCCAGTTTTGAAGGATGGACACCTCACATCTTGAGTCAATGTTAAGAACTGGAAGACTCCGTGAAGTAACGACTATTTTAAAAGCCAGCTCCCATGAGGTGGTGACTCATTTGGAGCATACGCGCCTCTCTAAAGTATACTTAGCTGCAGATACCACGCCTGACCAAAGGGACATACTACACACCGGGAGCTAGAAGTTGCTGCCTCCATCGGGTGAGAAAACAGATAAGGAGTAAGAGAGTCACCCCCAGCTACCATCTCCAGAGGGTATGTTGCCAAAAGCACAGGATGAGAAGGAGATACTCCCTGGAAGAATGGGACTATCAAAGAGAGCAGGAAAGATTTTAAGATGGAGAACATTAAGAGAAAACAAGTATATTCTAACTTAAATGTAGTCTAAAATGGTCAGATGTTAAGGGCGCCTACGTGGCTCAGTAGGTCAAGGGCCCAACTCTTGGTCTCAGCCAGGTCTTGATCTCAGGGTTGTGAGTTCAAGCCCCACGTTGGGCTCCATGCTGGGCATGGAGCCAACTTCAAAATGGCCAGATGTTAGTACTTTGGAGAATGCTAAAATGGAAGTGTTAGGTAACTGTATACTTGTGCAATTAGAAAGCACTGTCCTGAGCTAACATCCAGAAGTTATAAGATAATCAGCATGTGCTTACTCGAAGTCAAATACAGAGGACACATGCTAAACATGTGTTATGTGGCAAGCAGATAGCAGGACACAAATAGGTTGTATATGAAATAGTTTATGATTTAAGACTTGTAGGTGCGATACAGAAACTCATGTAAGGAGACCTCTGGTTTACTTCTTCAAACAACAGTGCATAAAGTACATCGTCACTGCTGTATTTTGTTTAGTTTATAAAAACTAAATTTCAAGAATTAAAGGCAATTCAGGGAAGGATATCCACCATATATGGGGGGAGGGGGGAACCAAATGGCGGGATTTAAAATTTTGATCTCTTAAAGCTATGAGTGAATGGATAACTTAAAAAGAACTTACCCTGAGGAAGAGAGAAGGGGATAGAATTTCACTTTTTACTTTATGGGAGTTATGCCAACATAAGACTATTAATCTGCTAAGCCACTCAAAAAAGTCCATACAGTCTTGGGGGGGGAATCATGTAGGCCCCCCTTGTGCCCCTAATATAGCCAACTCTGATTTCACTAACAAAACGGACTCCAACAAGCAGGTCTAAAAGAGACCAACCTTATCCTGAAGTCTCAGTACGTAAGAAATGGTACAGTTTAACATGCCCCCTTCTCTCCAACAAGAATTCTTATGTTCCCATAGGTCCCTACCCAAATATTACAACAAACGATAGACGCAAATCGTAGTTGCCCAGAACCACACTTTCCACGTTTAAACTTCTTTTAAAAAAAATCACATTTCAAGCCAAGAGCCAAACATTGCCTAATGTAAGTTCAAGTCCACAACTAAGAAATGTGAAGAGCTCCACCTTCCTTCCATCTCTTATAAAGAGGGATGCAACGCGCTGTTCTCTTTCTTCTCTAAAGGAATAGCTCTTGATCTCCCAATGTTACTGATTTTTATTCAATAGGGGTTTGAAGCACCTGGTGAAGGTAGAATATTACACCATCAAATACCTGCATTGAAAACAGATTTAGAAATTCTAAGAAACAAGTTCATGAACTTGAAGAACTTTAGAAGTTAAACCAACTTGCCCAATTTTTGAGTTATAAGTACACAGTGTCTCCCTAACGTGCTTACCATTAAACAGCATTAGGATAATATTTTCCACGTTGAAAAATACACTTCCCACTTGCCCTAATAAACCGACGTCCAGATGGGAAATGTAACCAGAACTAAACAAACATAATACAGTGAGGAGAGCTAAAAGGTACACTAAGACCCTGGGATGCCTTTGCAAGGTACAAAGTATTAAGTTTAAACAAATAGAGGGAGAGTATGAGAAATGAGATACTTGACATGTATAAAAAAGGACTACAGCTCTAAGGTGGAAATAAATGGATTTCTTTTCAGATGCAATCAGTAGTATGTATACACATTAAAGGTCACATTCACCCTAAAGGAAAAAACATGCCTCCTAGCACAGCAATACATTATAATCTAGGTAACTTTAAAATGTGTTAACTTTGTTCTGAACAATAATCAGTAATTAAAAACACAAAATCACTACAGTGATGTACGGCCTAAGATTAGTTACAATGAGTCCAACCCGATACAGAGGTAAGAGATAAAGAACAAAAAAACGAGCAAGAACAAGAAAAGCCACATGAATACAAAGTGATTCCATTTCTTTTCCTCAACACCCACACAAAGACAGCAGTTTCTGACAAGAATGTTCTTGGCAAAAAATAAAGTTACAGGAAGGTTTTTTTTCAATGAGAAAAAGGCAGCTCCATATGCAGATTACTAGGCGATATGATTTTTTTTTTTTAACGGCCCAAATTTACAGACCTCATTTTGAAAATATCTAAGCTTTTTTTTTTTTTTTTTTTGGATCACAAAGAAAAGATGACTAGAAATACTGTTCCTGTTTGGAATGCTTATTTCATGTTGTACTTGAAAATAAAATCCAACGTGGCAGCTTACCTTGGCACTGGAAGCCTTGTTTCCCAAACCCCCTGAAAAACAGAAACAACAAAGAATCTTAACATATTTTGTGTTGTATACCATATTTTAAGCCAATTATGAGACAAAGTATTCAATAGAATAAGGGTTTGTACATGAAAAGCAATGATTCGATAGCAAAAACATGCCTAGATAGAGTACTGAATAAATTCAACTTTGAGGGGGGGGGGGAAACTCTGTATAGCCTTCAAAGCTTCATTAAATTATTTCAGTGTATCAAGGTTCTTTCCAGTTCACACTTTGTTAATGATACTTAAGTTTCCAGACGAGAACATGACTATGATATTCAGAGTTGGTATAATATTCAACAAATAAAGACTTTACGATTGAAGGAAGTGCTTCAATTTTGTCCCTAAAGACAAAATGAAAATCGTTTTTCTCCCTAAACGCAACTAAAAAGTGGCTTCATTTGTTATGAAGGTACTTCAAATAGGTGTCTAGAAACCGCCAATCGGTACTACCTCACATTAAATTTTGGTTTAAAAGGAGCCAGATTTCACAAAATATTATTTTTATTGGTTGTATCTGAAGTTAACGATCTAATTTTTTTAGAGCATCAGTAACATTCAAAGCAAATACAGAAGCTATTTTGTTCTGGTAAATTACTTTAGAAGACTTATTCTCTGAGCAGAGAGCCCTAGCAGGGATATAAAATTGTAAACACTGTTTCAACTATGATGAACCGCATTACAATTCTTAGTCATGATCTCTTGCTTTACATAGCATTTTAAGTTGACAAAGCACTTCATATATCTTTATAACTTAGTCATTCCCCCAAACACATGTAAGCCCAAACATTTATAGTTTTAAAGTATCAGTGTTTTGATATTTAGAACAAACTTGTAAATTAAGGACCTACAGGCACAATGAAAGACAACTGAAGTTAAAACCACTGCTAGATGATCCTGGTATTTTCTTGGAACTTTCAAGTAGTTTCTGGTTAGGTGGAGAAGCATTACAGGAATTACTCAGGGAGGAAGCTGACAGGGAGACCTTTATTTTCCACTTCATATTACACCTGACCCGAAGTACCATAGCAGGTCACCAGGGGCTCAATCCTTCAGAGCAACTGACAGTGGAAAGTCCTTGGCTAGCCTGGTTATGTATGTTGCAAGTACCTTTCCTAATTCATCTGCTTTCCCCCCAAAGTAGTCCAGAGTCTCAGTGTTCCCTTTTTATGAGCTCTCCCAATTGGCATGGGAGGCTAAAGATGTTCTCCTTAACTAGATGCAGTAATCTCTTGCCCTGATGCGCCAAGAATTTTTAGCTAGCCTTGATGCTCCAAGAACTTTTAGCTAGCCTTATCTACAGTTACTTTGAGCACAACTGCTTCATATGCTGACTACAGTGAAAACCATTCGCAGAGGTGGCTGTGCTTTTTGTGAAAACACTTCTGAGATTTCTAAAAAGGAAAGGAAAATGCACCTCGTTTAGTATTGTCTGTGGGGGACTCTCCCTTACAGACACTTTCCCCAGGTACCGAATAGCCATCCATAAAGGAAAAGTTAAGCATCATAGCACCTTTGTGGGACCCTTAGAAGCGATTTCCCCAGGATGTGATGGATTCAGAGAATGTCACCCATAAAGGAAAAAATTAAGCTCCTTATGAGCACATCTGCGGGGCTCATGATTTCCCCAGGTGTGGTGAACTCAGATGCCATCCATAAAGGAAAAGTTAAGCATCTTATTAGCATCACATTTCTGGACTTTACCCTTGCAGTTGTTTCCTCCAGGGTTGGTGGGGGCCGGGGGGGGGGGTGATGGATTCACACAGCTATCCATAAGTTCTGCCTAGGGCCCCAACAAGATACATGCCACCGGGAGGGTTAGTGGCACTGTCCCCGCAGTCGCCATAGCTCTGACTTGGAGTTTCCCACCTACATTCAGGAAGAGGAGATAGAAAAAGCCCGGGTATCTGCCAACCTGAGAAAAAAAAACTCCTTACTGCTCACACTAGAGCACCTGGGGCTCCCTGAGGTTCAGCTTTAAACTTTGGGGGTATTTTTCGAGGCGGGGGGTGGGGGGCGGTCACCGATGTTTTGAGAGTAAGAACCATTAGCTCTCACCAGAAAAGGGTATATACAGTTCTGCCCAGTTTAGCAGGGTTCAAAGACCCCCGGAGGCCATCCCTTTATCAATCCCCACCCCCTGCCCCAAACCCCTGGACTCACAATGCCGGCATTCACTGTAAACTCTGTACCTGAACTCCGACGCCTTACAGTAGTTTTCTTAACTAGGGCCTCTGTCCTCATCTACCGGGCTGCAGGTCTAATCTCGTGTTGACAGGGTCTATTTTAAATGACTCCCTCTGCCCTTCTGCCATTTGCCTGCTCGGTTTTAATTCCCCCTCCCCCACGGCAAGCTTTCAACAGTTTGCTGCCTCTCCGCTCTCCCTGGGCTCACCCAGACGAGTCCGGTCTCCCGTGCCCAGCAGATACAAGCTACAGTAGGCAAGGACCCAAGGTCCCAGAGGAGTCCAAGCCCGCTGGGAAACAACACCCCCCACCTCTCCCTCCCCCACGAAGGCGCCCAGCCCGGCTCGTCTCTAACTTGGAGCGCGCGGCGCAGTCGCCGCTGCTCCCCCGTTACTCCGGGCGTTTCTCCGGGAAACTCTGCCCTTTGGATTCTCTTCCTCGCTCTTCCCTTCGCTCACACCCAGCGAGCGGCGCTCCCCCGTCCGTACAGAAGGGCGGGTGCGCCGGGGAGACGGAGGGGACCCGCGGAGGCGATCGGTGTCGCTGCGGCGCGGGGCCAGCCTCCCCCCTGCGGCAGGGGGTGTGTGACCCGGCGCCGACTTCCCCGGGAGTCCTGCCCGCGAGTGTCCCCGGCGCGCGCGAGCGCGTCGTTCCGGGCGAGACTTCGGACTCGGCCGGCTCTCTCCCAAGTTCCCCGAGTGAGTCAGCCCCAGAGTGGGCGCGCCCGAGCGAGGATCCCCGGGATGCAGGGACCCGGACTGGAGAGGGACGGGTCCCAGCCCCGGGCGCCCCCGGGGGGGGGGGGGGGGAGGGGGTCCTGGCGGCCGCCGTGCGCCCCGGCCCGCGCGCACCTACCAGATGAAGTCGGTGCAGTGGCTGCAGAAGGTGGGCTGCTTGAAGAAGCGGGCGATGAATTTGTGGTCCTTCACCTCGTGCACGTTCTTCTGCCTCAGCGCCCCTTTGCGGGCGAAGCGGTTGGCCACGTCCTGAGACGCCGTGGAGTCGTTGGCCGGGAAAACGTCAGCCATGGTCCCCCCAACCACCTCTTGCCTCCGCCGGGGAGCGGC